GTTACCCAGGACATTCCAAGGGGTAAAATAAAATATTAAGTATTACTGGGGCTTAGCCGGGTGAAGTTTGTTACATCGGGTCTGGTTATTTTGAAAAAATACCCGGTGGGGGCCAAGTTTCACACACACACAAAAGACAGATAACGTCTCATTTTCTATAATATAGGCCGGCCTTTAAAATGAGGTCTACTTCCAGTCCTACACCCTAATTGCCGGCCTTTAATCAATGTGCCTACAGACAGTCCGACACCCTACCCGCCAGTTTCTAAACAATTGACCTAGAGACAGTCCTACACCCTACCCACCAGCCTTTAAACAATAGTCCTGCAGACAGTCCTACACCCTAACTGCCGGCCTTTAAACAATAGGCCTACAGACAGTCTGACATAAAGTCTTATAATCCTCCGGTTGACAATTGCCTCCTCCTCCCCACCCCCCACCCCCAAAAAGAGAAAGCAAAAAAAAAAAAAAAAAAAAAAAAAAAAAAAAAAAAAAAAAAAAAAAAAAAAAAGAAAGCACCAACTGAGTACTATACCTTAATATAAAAAATGTGGAGCTTTTGGAGGGCCGGTTGTATAGAGGAAGCAAGACACACCATAATCAAAATATGTATCTATGAAATCCATGTAAAATTTAAGATTTTTTTTCGTTTAATGAGAATAAAAATGAAGGGAAATTGAGACCTACTAGTAAGAGAGTATTTTATTGATACCATATGGTGATATGGTCCCAAAATTCTGAATGAATTTTTTTTCATTCTTCACTTTCGCTGGTGTATTAGTGTAATCAATCGGTACCCTGTTGGACGCATCTTATGGACCCTTGTGAGGACCACTATTGAAATCGGATGAGACCGGGGTGGGGGCGGCTTGTTTTGTTTAATATCAAGGAAATGTTCACCGAAACTATCTTCTTCCTATCGCACCTATGTAACCTTTCTATGTAAATTCTTTGAAACCCAAAGACACGTTGTAAAAAAAAAAAATTATTGTAAAACTACATGGAATCCATCGCCATTAAATAATTAAAGAAAAATTTGTTTAAGAGTTTTATTACCGTTGTAATATAAAGAATTTTTTTTTTTTGCTCAATCAATGTAAACTAAAAGCCGTAAACTTTGAGTGTGATACTTGAGCTACGAACTGAATGATCCAGCTACAAAACTAAAGTCAGAATCTGTCGCTATTTTACTGTGGTGGATTCAGATACCCTTAGCGGCACTTCACCCTCAGATGGCCTTAGCGACACTTCACCCATACAAGCTTCGCTAAAATTTTTCTGTTTGCTATGATATCGACTACCGCATGCTTCTTGTGGGCTCGTCATAGACAGTGGTTGGTTGTGTCTTGTTAGTCATGGATAGTTGTTAAAAGTGGTTGGTTGTGCCTGGTTAGTATTAGATAGTTGTTAAAAGTGGTTGGTTGTGCCTGGTTAGTATTAGATAGTTGTTAAAAGTGGTTAGTGTGGCTCGTTAGTCATAGATAGTTGTTAACAGTTGTTTGTTGTGTCTTGTTAAATGGAGCACAAATCCACTAAAATTTAATGTCATTCTCTTGGGGAGGTTACATAAAAGTTTGGAGGGGGGGGGGCCCACTGTTACGACTGCACAAAAAACCCAATATTCCTCATGCTTTTCAAAAAATCATTCTGAAATGTATTTATTTATTAAATTCATGTATCCGCGGGTCTCTATAAGATGTCTATTTAAATAGCAAATAATAACAAAATAACCATTGCTCTAAGCATGACTTTGATACAAAAGCATGACTTTAATACAGAAGGATGACTTTAATACAGAAGGATTAATTTAATACAGATGGATGACTTTAATACAGAAGGATGACTTTAGTACAGAAGGATAGATTTAATACAGAAGGATGACTTAAATACAGAAGCAAGACTTTATTACATAAGGATGATTTTAAGACAGAGAGATGACTTTAATACAGATGCATGACTTTAATACAGAAGGATGACTTTAATACAGATGCATGACTTTAGTGCAGGATGACTTTAATACAGAAGGATGACTTTAATACAGATGCATGACTTTAATGCAGGATGATTTTAATACAGAAGGATGACTTTAATACAGAAGGATGACTTTAATACAGAAGGATGACTTTAATACAGATGCATGACTTTAATACAGATGGATGACTTGAATACAGAAGGATGACTTTAATGCAGAAGGATGACTTTAATAAAGAAGGATGACTTTAATACAGAATGATGACTTTAATACAGAAGGATGACTTTAATACAGAAGGATGACTTTAATACAGATGGATGACTTGAAAACAGAAGGATGACTTGAATACAGAAAGATGACTTTAATACAGGAGGATGACTTGAATACAGAAGGATGACTTTAATACAGACGGATGACTTTAATGCAGAGGACCTTCCCGGTCTCCGGTTCACAAGTCAGTGGTGGCTTGTCGATTAGGAGGCGTCGGCCACCGACTCCCTCGACGTTACCCGTGGAACACAACTACTGGGCGCGTCCTGCGTGGGCAGACAAGGGTTGTGCTCGGTACCTGCCGTAAATAAAACAGCTCCTACAGGGCTGCCAGTTGTGACGCTTCACGATTGGAAGAAAAGGCAGAGACAGGGTAGGGATCATGATTACAAGTTGCGTGAATGGAGATGAGGCGAGAGGCGAAGGTGGTTATAGCCTCTGGCCGATGATTCTTACTATGCATCCCTGAGAAGCTGCTCCAAGGCCACCGTTTCGTCCCAGCTACTTCGAAAATTAGTTGCGTTGTGGAAACCCACTGTTGAATCCAACGCTTCCCCGGGATGGTTAGGGGAAGATTTTTTCATCCGACTCCTGAAACAGTCGATCGTGTGCATTGTGTGCAAACACAGTGTCGGACCGACCGGGTGTCTTTGGGTTAGGATGGCCCCCGGCGGAGACCTGGTCGAGCAGGCTCGGGTGGGGGCAGTCCTGACAAAGAGACATCCCCACGTGCCGCTTCGCGGTCCGATACCGGGTTGGGGAGGGGTGTTTTGGGGAGGGCATAAAGAGCGCAATGTCGACGGCCCGCTGACGCCATGTCTTAATATAATATAATAAAACAGTAGGATGATTTTAATACAAAAGCAGGACTTATATACACAAGCATGTATTTAATACAAAATCATGACTATAATACAAAAGCATGACTTTAATACAAAGTATAGCTATAATAACAATATTAGATTTCCTCTAAAATCAAAAGTAGTTTCATGCTTCACGATTCACGATTCGACCCTTCTAACCCAAACTCTAATTTTGTATCATTCTATTTTTTTGTATCATTCTGTTTTCCATTGAACGAGAAAGCCTTCACGTTTCATAGTTTACTTTCTTAAACGCCTCTTAAAAAAAAAAAAGAAAGAAAGAGAACACTATGTATTAACTAGTTTGTAGAGCTTCTTTGTAATATGTGTTCAATTCCCTTCCATAGTTAATAGCTCTACGTTATTCCAAAACATTTTGTTATCGCCCGCCTGTGTTATCTCCAAAAATATGTAGACTGTGTCTCGATGATATGTGCTGAGCGCGTACACCTTTCATTGGTTTATTAACCTGTTGGAAAGTGAAACGTTCCATTACACCTCTTGAGATCGCGAGCTCGGCTAATTTAATTAAAACACCGCATTCAAATCTCCAGCGAGGCCGACGTGAATTTACCAACACGAACAAATAAAACCATTTTTACGCATCGGGAAGCCGCCGCACACTCGTACATTTCAACAGCTTTTGAAAGCTGCGCACTCCAAGTGCAAAATGATCTTGCGTCGGTGACCGAAGTGTCTAAATATTTTTCTTTCCGCGGTATTGTAATATATCATAAGTTGTACGACAAGGTTCGGTACTTTCTTTCTTTTTTTGCCGTGGCCTCTCCTAAAGTATCACGTTTAAACAGATCCGATGGTTGGTCTTTGTCCAGTCCAACACCGCGCCACAATGAGTGAGTGATGAAGTGCTCTTATCCGTGAACTTTTGAAAAACTGTGCAATGACCGAGGAAAGAACAGTCTATAAACCATGACGTCAATAGTGAATGCATACAACACATTTTCAGTTTTCCCGTAGAAACAATACTAAAAAAAAAAAATACTTTCAATAAACAGTAAACCTTGAACTTGTGTGGAATTAAGCTAGAGTTTCTTAAAACCAGGACGGTCTTTATTTCACGAGACGTGATTTAGACATTTTGGGGCTCGTACTCATAAAGTACTTTATAAAATCCAATCACTTCTAAACTGTTATATTGAAAATATGTTGCTTTAAAATCAAAACAGCGCCCGAACTTGCCAGTTGGGAAAGTTTTCCATAACGCAGTGGCGTAGCTAGGATTAGGGTCATCCGAGACGGGTCAATAATTTTGACGCCCTCCTTTCACGAAAGGAGTTGGCTGGAAACAGGGGTGGACTGGTGAGTTCAAGCGGCCCGGGAAAAAATCAAAGCTGCCCTGAGAAAAAAAACAAAAAAGCGGCCCTATCTTCATGACTTTTATTTTTATTATATCACCGGTCCTATCGGCCCATCGGGAATCTTCCCGGTGTCCCGGCGGCCCAGTCCACCCCTGGCTAGAAATTGTTCCTGTACACCGTTTCATGACATGAAATATTGGAACTTAAACACAATTAAAGTTTTAAAAAAAAATTTAAAAAAAAGAATAACCTTTAGTTTTGAGAAAATAAGTAGGTGAATTAGGTTATGGATACAATCATTCACCGTTTTATAAAATATTCACTAAAAGACAAGTAAGAATTAAAATTTAGATTCACCTAAAATGTAATCATGATGAGTTTTAAAAAAAATACAGTTAGGCTCTAGATCTTGATTAATTTGCAACCGTTGAATTATAAAATATAGTTAATTAATAAAAATATATATGTTCATTTATGTTAAACTCACTAAAACCAGTTTCTTGATCACAAAAAAAAAAAACAACAACAATAAAAGTCACAACATGGCATAATGATAGATTTCCTATAACATCACGTATGTCCAACCTTTTGCTAGATTCTAACGGGACAGTAAAAGAGTTGGTGTTTCCTAAAGCCCTGGACCTGGACCGGCCGAAACGTGATAGAACAACGTTCTCCAACCGCCAGCTGGGCAGACTAGAGGAGGAGTTCAACACGAACCAGTACATCGTGGGCAAAGATCGCACGGCTCTGGCCAAATGCCTGGGGCTGTCCGAGACTCAGGTGAGTAGAAGAATGGACCCCCACTTCTGCGACACAATTTAAACAGCAGCGGCTTGAGAATGTTAGGTTTGAAATGCAATCTGTGTTAACGTGTCAAGCTCAATGCTGAGCTACGACCTGCCAAAGTGCTATACAAAATGATTGTTATATTATGATTATAGTTTGATAAATTATCATTTTTCTGTTAAAAATTCACGGTAGACCAGGTGTGGACAAACTTTTTTGTGCGGAGGGCCACACTGACAAATGTAACACGCTGTTGGGGGACCGCATGTATCTTATGTCCCATTTTTACATGTCGATAAACATTTCTCTCTATTCAAATCGGTAAAATCGCATTTTAGCATTACATGAAAAAAGTCAAGGACTGCTTAAAAAAATATAAAATTTGAAAGAAACTTGATCAAAAAGTTTAAAAAATCTTAATGGTACATGAGATTCTGTAAAATTCAATAAAATAACTTAAAAACAAAGTAAATGTTGTTTTTTTTCTAAATGCCTTCGAGGACCGCATATTATCAGTTGCCGGGCCGCATGCGGCCCGCGGGCCATACTTTACCACCCCTGCGGTAGAAAATTTTAACAAAAATAAATTAATTAAATTATCAGAACAACCAGTTAGGATTTTACGTCTTAGGCCTCTATCTTAGAAAGGCAAAATGACCTACTTGATGTTACAAAATGGCTTATATTTAATAGCAAATTTTTACTGCAAAGTTCCACTGTAAATTAATTCTAACCTTATGTATTTCGTAGGTAAAAGTCTGGTTCCAAAACCGTCGCACAAAGTTAAAAAAAGAAAATGGTCGAAATTTTGAAGGCAATGACTCTCAAGCTGAGAGCAAAGCTGCCCAGAATGTGTTGAAACTCTTGGCCTACCAAACATCCGTCAGCTACCCTTGTCTCCAGAATCAGGTGCCCGCTGGTCACGATCCGTCTGCCGAGGCTCGCTTAAGTCCGAACGGTCCAAAGCTGCTGCCAAGTGTCCTCGCACCACACACTTGTCTTCACGCCGAGACATGCAACGACAAGCAGTGGCCATCGGTTCAGACAACACCGGAACATAATATCCCAACCTTCTACGCCTCTTCTGCCAAAGACGTATCAAAGTGTCCGTCTGACCAGAAACAGGTACAGACGCACCTTGACTCTGGCAAACACGATGCCGTTGTCCACCCAGATGGCTCTCCTCTGTTTCAGAAGCATTCTCGTGGCCTGGAGGTGGTCTGCTCGAAGCATGGGGAAGATGACGAGCTAACGTCTGGAACAGCTGATTACCGCCCAGTACCGCAAACATCAGAACACGCTGATTACGCCGGTAAATATGGCAGTGGAATTGGCTCAACGCATTTTCCAATCAGAGGATTTCCTGAGATCACTACACACCAACTTACAGCAAGACCAGAGAGGGCATCTAGGAAAAATACTTCGCATTTAAATGATTCATTCCAACAAGACAGAAACACTTTATTGGTGGACAATAAATTAGAGGTAAGTTTCATTAATAATACCCCAAAAAATTGTATATAGAGTTAATTCTAAAGTTTTTCAAGGTCTGTCTTACGGTCACAGTTAAGTATGGCTAAGAAAAAAATTATTCAAATATATAAACCATGCCATACTAATTCCCTGAAAACCATGAAGGTAGTTAGTTCAAGAAAAAAATGTTTAAATGTGTTCTTAATTAAGTATTAATACATTTGTCCATATTGTCAACAGCAGTGCTCGACTCAAGGGATCACCCAGACGACCCTTAGAGATTCTTATTCCCCGAGTGGCTGCTTTCAATCACACACCATGCCATCCCACAGGGTAGAGGTTTCTCCATGGACGCAAGGATATCAAAGTCTCCCTGGCCCTCCATTCTTTCCATGGTATGAGAATGGTAATTTCGCACCGTCTTCATTCAGTAGCATTGGGCAACCATCACTTCACAGCAGCTACTTCAACACTGGATCGCCAAACCTCACCAGCGCCTTCAGCAATACTGACCACCAGGTGCATGCTCAACACACGCGTTTTGGACATCCGAAGCCCAACTTGTATCACGAGTTGTCAGGGACTACTCCCCTTTTCTCAACGACAGCCACCGATCATTCAACTTTAGGTTCAGCAACATTTGAGCCACAAATATACAGGAGAGGATTCACCATGTCTTATCAGAGCCAAAGTTTAGGACTACATGAAAACACGAGGAAAGCAATAGATCTAAATCTGAATAAACACCTGGGTCTTAAGTTCTGTACATTACAGACACCTTTGTCTGGTGCAATGAGAAATGAACACATGTTACATCAACTACAAACCAAGTTTCCATATTCCTATTTTAACCAATCGTAATGCACGCACATATGTAAGACGACGAGTATTTGGAGGCTGTAATCCTGATATGTGCAAAAATGTGTAGCATATTCTCCGCTCTTAGCAAGAGACGCCTTCGCTGGTTAGGCCATGTGAGGAGAATGGAGCAAGGCCGTATTCCAAAGAATCTGCTGTATGAAGAGTTGGCAGAAGGAAAGGACTTATTGGATGGGCACAGTTGCGATTTAGGGACGTTTTCAAAGCAGCACGAGGGAAGCCAACATAGAAATCAACTAATGGGAGATCATCGCTGAGCACCGTTCCAGCTGGTGAACAGAAGTGTATGAAGGCGTCAAAAAAGGCAGACGATGTGTGAAACGAAACCCTTGGAAGAAAAAGAATAATACCGCAATGCGGATTCCTAATTTAACCAGGAGTCGAGGTTCTCCTGCAAGAAATGCAGCCGAGATTGCCATTCCAAGATCGGCAGTCCATTTGACGAAGTATAAATAGCTACTCCATAGTCTCGCGAAGACGAAAGCATGTCACATATATATATATATATATATATATATATATTTATAAATATTGTTTCAAGACATTTCAAAAGCGACGATAATGATAATAACTACGCAGCTTAAATAAATTCTCAATTTAGTACTGCATGATTATGTTGCATGTTGGATTTTTTTTACGTAGATGAGTATACTGTTTACTAAATTAAATTTTTAATTAATGATCCACAAACTCAAAGTATGACACCTTTGAGCCGTTTTAAAGGGCAAGAATTTAGTTAATTTTTGTCAATCAAACCATTAGACATTTGATAACTTTGAGTGACACATGTTCAAAAAGAAGCAATGCAATATTAATTTGTTCCATGGCATTTAGTGAATTATAGGGTATAGGGAACAAGGGTATAGAAAACCAAAATAGAATTAAGGGGGAAAAAAACAAAGACATTTTTCTTTTTTTTTAAACGAACGAAGAATCTCCTTTCCTCAACACAACATTTTGTACAAATAACATTGAAAGCAACACAGATAAGATACTTCAAAAAAACAAAAAAAATTGATTTAGGGAAATTTATATTTTTGCATCGATACTTCCTATGCAAGAGTGTCCTCTATACATTTTCATCTTTGTGTTTATGAATTTAACTATCCAGAACGCTATAGAAATGAACCTAACTTTGACGTTGAATTTTTGTACGGTATACATTTTAAACGGAGGGCTACCGGTAATTGTAAGTACTAATTACTAGCACCAGGCTAGAAGTGATCTTACAGCTATTCACCCCGGTGTAAGTGCTAAGCTCCGGAGCTGGGAGTGGGCCCAAACAAATGAATTGTCAGCCGCCGTTTGATTTCTCTATTATTGTAAGCCGTTAATTCCTCACACTCGGAGCTCACGGGAGGGCGATCTTCAAGTCAGATTTCAAGTGCAAGGCTATCAGCGGGGTATCCCTCCTTCGTTGACAGCCCCGAGGGAACGCCTCTGCACAGCGACGTGTGGTGGGTGACAAGTCACCGGGACCGTGGGCGACGGACTGCAAGAATGGAAAAACAAATTAATGTTAACAAGAGCGGATGGACATGAAAACCTCTTATCTTTGTTTATCGACAAGACCACGGGGTGGGGGAGGGGGTGGACAAAAATTAAGCCAAGCGGTGTCTGGAGATGCGACCAGCGTTTAAGTGAAATAGACGAGCCGGTGGTGGTCAAGGAGCACGGACAACAAATTAAGCTGTTAAGCGATGTCAAAACTCTCTTCCCCCCCCCCCCCCCAACAGATGCACTGGTAGAAGTACAGATGGGGCGGGGCTATTCATGCTAGTCGCAAGGGTTCATACTGCGCTGTCTCTATTTAACACCGTTGTGTGCTAATTGCCCTTTGTGATATCTGGGCGAGGAGTGACAGTTTGGATAGGAAAGACAACTCTGGGGCCAATTAATGTTTTCTTTCAACTGTTTACATCCGATTTTTTGCAAAGCTTTTATCTATCAAAAGTTTCTTGCACTCATATATGAGAAAAAACAACATAAAAACGACAAAACAAAAAAAAAAAACACCAAAAAGAAAAAAAAAAAAAGCAACAAACAAACACGAACTACACAATATAAGAAATAATCATTTTTTGAAAACATTTTACAAAACAAAAGTTTCTTGCAATAAAAAAAAAAAAAAAACAACAAAAAAACAAAAAAAAAAAAAAAAAAAAACACCAAAAAGAAAAAAAAAAAAAAGCAACAAACAAACACGAACTACACAATATAAGAAATAATCAGAAGGCCCATTTTGGTCCAATGAACTGAAAAGTGTAAAAATTCCTCTTCAATTCTACTATGTAGTTGTTTTTTTTCTTAAAAATATGAATGCTAATTTTTTTTTTCTTCCCTTGTTACTAAGCTATAACATAAGCAATAGAATAGATTTATGATAAAAAATGAGTTTATTTTCACTGTTGAACGCTGCCTAGAATGATAAAGGTATGAAAGTTATAAATATACTTCCACCCAGGTCCAAAGTTGAAGGCCAGCGATCGTGGCCTAGTGGTGGCGGAAGTAGCCCATTGTCGGATTAGGGCGCTTCAAAACCTCTCCAGCAGTTATCCCAATTAGCTTCCAGCTGTTAAAAGTTTTCGGGGCACGAGTCTCTCCCCCCCCCCCCCACATACACCATTTGGGTGGATGTAGTCTACGGGTCAGTCAGCCTTGACCAATGTGGGCTTGGCTAAATAAAGGAGGACAACTCTTTTCTTCCACTCCTGCGTCTTAAAACTCACCTACTTGTTTGCTGGTGACGCTGGTTATTATAATTCTAGGGATTTAAAATGTTCACACTGCACCTCCCAGGGATGGAATAAAATTATGTAGGCCTACATACAATTTTTAAAGCAATATAATTTTTTTTGGCATGGATCTAATGTTAAACTGATTAAAAAAAAAAAAAAAAAATCTAAGAGAAAATTTATTTAAATCACAAGAATATCAAATTTTGTTTCTTTGTAACCTTTTTATTATTATTTGTTTGTTTCTGCTAATTTTATATACTCAAAATATGAAATATGTTAAATAACTGTAATAACCGATAAAAAATGATAATTGGCACGTGGCTTCAACACATACAAATAAAGTAATAATTCTGATGGTTATTTGTGAAAAAAACTGTATCATTCAAGGCTTGAATATATCATCACAAGGATTCAATTAATATTTTTTTTTACAATAATGTCCATAAAAATGAACACATTAAACAGCAATTATTTGCCTCTCAGATTTCGGACCTGAAGTAGTGGAATAAGTTTAAATTGCTGTGCTTATTATTATTGTGTTTGACAATTTTACTTTGTGATTATTTATATTCAAAGAATTGTTACAGACAGAAATTACATTTTTTTAAACGAAAAAAATTAATACAGTTTTAAAGGTCTTGCATATAGCCCACGGCCCGTTGGTTAATTATCCCTAGTTTACAGGACATTTGTGGCTAGGGT